GTCACGATACTAAACTTTTCAACTTGATACCGATACTACGGAAAATACTCGATACTCGATACCATTTTCGATACCACAAGGATAAAAACAAAGACTCCAAAATTCTACAGAAATATTTTCATTAATAAATAAAATACAATAAATAAATACAATAAAGGTTGTATGCTGTGCATAATATTAAGCAAGCTTGATAAAAAAACGTATAAAATTAAAATTAAGTGTTCCCTCCTTTGCACACATAACAATGACAAACCCGTTAAGAAACAAAAATAATTCTCAGCAGCTGCACCTCTTACAAAAAAAAGTCTGAAACTGAAAAGTGCACAGAATTATTCAATCACACAGTGTTCTGAATGTGCATTGTCCTCTATTCTGCACTTTAGATGAATGACTGCTTAGGTGCCACTGGTGGTGGCACTGTATCGATACTTTTGAAAATGAGTATTGTATCCGGATACAACGTTTCAGTATCGATACTTTTTTGAGTTTCAATACTTTTGACAACCCTAGCCCACGACCACCAAAAACAAAAGTATGATGCAACAGAGGTGCATAACGGAAAGAAACTACATTTCCAGACAGGACTAGAGAAAACGAAATGTGTGGGACAGAAACAAATAGTGGCTAAGTTTGAGGATGAGCAAACAAGTACAAATCTGTTTACAAAAAGGGCAGTTTCTTCTTTTACTACAACCTGAACGATTAAATCACATCGAATGCTTGGTATATGTATACATAAGGCTGATTTATACTCAGAAACCAGGTTGTCTGCGTGCGTGTCACAGTGAATGCAAATGTGCCTCCGCCCCTGCCGCAGACACTCCAAAATTGTAGGTGACCGCTGATAGTACTGCAGACAGGAGGCCTCTGATTGGTCAAATCTACATCCGCTCTACACTATGTGTATTTCCTGTTTGGTATCTTACAAGCTTGTTATGTTTATATGCCATTGTGGAAAGAGCAAAGTGTGCAAGAACGCTGGGACCCCTTTTCCACCTGGATACCCGTTTTTTTTCGCGCTCATTTCCCTCCGTTGTCACACAAACTTGCCTGCACTTCCTCGGCCGTATCTAGACCCACAGCTAGTTCGTGATTGTCCCTCTTGCATTATGGCGTGGAGTAACATAGCGCAGACCACGCTTTAATATTTGCCATAAATCAAAAATATTTGCGACAAGCGCACTGTGACACACTGCTGCGGGAGCATAACCAGCCCTATACTCATGTCCATTTTATTTAGTGTCCATGTAAACACAGATTTTGAGCTTCTGATCAATTAAGGTTTAGATCTGATAGGGGAAATCTTGTGCATGAGCTCCTAGCTAATATTCCTTCACTTTTTGCAGGGTAAAAAATAAGAACACTGTTGTCAGTAGGACAGGAACTCCTCACTGCTGTACTGAATACAGACAGCCTTTAAGATGTCACAACACAATGGAAACGCACATGGGAGATCCTTTTCAAAACCGGGACTACACCCTTCTTAAAAGGAACTACAAAAAACAAAACTTAAACGTATGTAGTAGGAAGTTAAAGCCAAAAACGTATGAAAGTTTATAAATTTCAATGTGCAGAGTACAAAATTCTGTGAGGTGAGCTGTGCCTATAAATCCTATCATGCAAAGGATTGTGGGAAACCATGTTCCTCCTGAGTGGCAGACAGCAAGGTTGGGAGGTCCCTATGCTGAATGAATTCTCCTGTCTTCTCTTCTTCCCTCCTTCCTTACTGGCAGCACTATTCAGACAGCCCTTATCACAGGGACCACTGACAGCTTCCGATGTGGCTTAAGCATCCACACTCATTTGCCTGATTTGCACTAAGCCACTGTATTGACTAGAGGTGAGTATTGGCATGAGTGTTGCAATTCGATACATGTCGCGATACTTGGGTCACGATACGATATTATCACGATATTGCGGTATCACTATATATTGCCATATTTTCCCCAGCTATCAAAATCAAATGATGAGATAAAACAGCAAGTGCTGTATATTTTCATCAGAAAATATTTATTAGGTATTATTATCCATGTTGTTTGGGGTTTTCTTCCACTGCGACTGCTTCAAATACAGATTTGGTGCTGCACGCACAGTTAAAGGGCTCCACAGTGCTTTCTGCCAGAGTGGTGGTTCAGAGGTAGCCCATTTTCCCATCAATGTTTTATGTAACCATTTTTTTTTTGAAAATCGATACTAAGAAGTGAAAGATCGATATTATATTGGGCAGCCGAATATTACGATATATCGCCAAAACGATTATTTCCCACACCCCTAGTATTGACTGAGGCAGGTTCCTGTCTATGTCATGTGAATTGTTCTGTGCAGAGAGCGTAGCTTTGCTAAACACATGTATTACCTGACACCACTAAAGAGAGAGCAAACATGTGCCTTTCAACTTCAGAGGCAAAATACTTCAGACGCCAAAGCAAACAATAAATAATGTATTATAATTACCTAAAATGTAATATCTACAGGGTGTTTTATGTTAGTTTTCTATCTCTCTGGTCTTTGCGCCAGTGATTAACATGGAGCAGGTGGATAATAATGCAATAACTGAACTATATAAATTGCTTGGTCTTTAAGTGATCAGTTTGTTGGTTCCTTCTTTGCACATGTATCTAATTGATTATATTATAATTGGAATTGCTACCAGCATTACACTGCTTATTCAAAGATTTACTGGCTGATTACTAAATTCACATTTAACTTAAGAGTAATTGTATGTTATTTAAAGCAGTTTTTAAAAAGTAGGACTCAGTTTATGTTTAATTATTATTGTCAATGATAAATATATTGTCCTGCATGCTCAATACTCAGATTTAAATATTTCCTGTATGCTTTTACATTTTTTTTTTACAAAAACATGGTGGTCTGCTGGCAGGCTTCCCTATCAACACCTACTTCCAGGTTTAGCGAGTTTCCTCAAGGCCAGATAAAACATGTTTGGTGCTAACTTATTAGCAAGTTGTATTAAAATAGACAAATGCTAGCAATAGCATAGCTTATAAGTAAAGCTATCTCCAATTAAAACACCGCTAAGCGAAGCACAACACAAGCTAGTTGCAGACTGTAACTGTCTTTAGTCAGGTATAAAAATAGAAACAAAAGGCCATCGTGCTAAAGCCAAATTATCCGACTCTACTAAGAAAAACAGATGCTGGAGATTCTGAGAGATCTCTGGCAAATAAGTTTGGAGAAAAACAAAAAAATTAGAACATTTAATATAAAATTAAATAAAACTTATTAAATTATTGAACTTTAAAGCTCCTGACTTTTCCAGCATTTATGGGGAAAGCATGTTATCGGCGCGCTGGATTCAGTAAGAGAAAATTGTTTATTCTTCAGTTACTAAGGTTAATAGCACGGGTAAATTACAATTCTAGGTGGATACTAGACTTAACAAAAGTATGCATTGTTCAGCTGGCATGTAGGGCTGCCATGTTGTTTAGTGGCAGATAAATGTGTTTATCAGGTTGTTGCATTGTTTTCAGTAAGTTAAGGAAACCTATCACAAAAACACAAGTAATCTTTTTAAAACAAACTTAGCCGAACAGAATCGGAGAGGAAGCATCCTTCAGATATGATTAGAATAAAAAAAAAAAAAGTCTCTTATCACTGAATACAAATCAAACATACAAAAAGAGTCTGTGTTATAATACATATTCTAGGGAAACAAAGAGGCTTAAGTATTATGATCACACTGTTATATAATGTTATGCAATCTCCGTTACTGTCACAGGGCTGAATTTGTTAATACAGAATCAGTGTGTTGAGATTGTTTTGACTAAAGGAAAGAAAAACAAAAAAAACATTACATCTGGTCAGCACCTGAATTCTATAAGAAGTATGTTTTATTTAAAAGTAAAGTCAGTCTTGCAGGCTCCCATGAGACCTTCATTCACAGCATAGCATACATGATCAGTGACATGTGAAATTCAGATTTTGTTAAGGAAGTAAAGGAGTGTGGTCTTAAAAACCCTTGAACCAAACATGCTCCATGATTTTTTTTTTCAGTTTAGCTGTAATAGTTTTTCTTTGTTTTGTTTTTACATATCATTACAGCTCACAAACGAGAAGATATTTTTTTTTCCAAAGCTTTAACTGTACAGCCTCAGGGGATTTTAATAATCAGTAAGCATTTTCTGACAAACAAGTCGTGACTTGAGACAAAAAGCAACCAACAGAGGAGTGAAAATAAAGGTCAGTTTTAAGGTTAAGCCGGCATCCACTCCCAGCCCCCTTCATGTTACATAATAACCCATCGCTGAATTAGGTTTATTGTAGGATTCTAGATATGTTTGCTCTTCAGACAACTCTCAGAATGTGCATGTTGTTTACACAGAAAAGACCATGAATACAACCGTATGGAAAAATGATGGAAAGGGAAACAAAGGGAAAGGTGAACTAACCAAAATAAAGACAAACACTAAGTAAACAAATCCAAGTAGAAACAATAAAGCTCATCTTCCTGTCTAACGCAAAGAGAGGCAGTAACACATAAAATGGACTATAGAGGAAAACATAAAGGAGTCAATACGATGACTACTCACTGATAGAAACATTCCCAAAAGCAGTTAACTGACTTATCAGTGGCCTGCCTCCTTCTTTCTCCTTCGGTCAAGTGATTGAGCAATTCTGGCCTGCTGACTGCAAACTCTGGCTCTCACAGGGCATACTATTTCGAAACTGGTCCACTAAACCTGCGCTCAGTTAACCAGTACTCCCCCGCACCATTTCAGACCAAAACCACTGGATAGTTATGGCTAGATGGTGTATTTCACTTCTCTTAGGACCTCATGAACACAAGTCAGAGCTGAATGCAAACACTGCTAGATCCAACTGCATTTATAACACCAAATTCACAGCCAATTTACCCACAGGCATGAGAGCTCTACACACAATATAATAAATTTTTCTGTCTTAAAGTTATATCCTGCACTTCAGAAAACTCACCCAAAAATAAATGAGTTAATGACTGTTGCTGACTTTAGTTTTCATACCCGTTTCTTGGGACTGGGATGTGGGAGGAGGAAAGGGGTTGTGTCTCTGCCTGTGGGACATTCTGCCCCTGTACTGCCCTGAAGCTGTTGGCCAGCTCTGCCTGTTTTCCTGGGTTTCTGATGTCCAAACTTATGGAGCTGCCTGGTAACTGTCGGCCCGTGCCAAGACAGAGTGTTGGAGTGGCCCTCTTCAGGATCCCAGTTGAAATTATGTCTTTTTGGTCTCTGAGGCCTGTCTGGAAAATGAAGCAAAAACACATTTAACCCCTTTAAACACTGAAAGTCAAAGTAAAATATACATATATATACTGGCAGCTGATATTTGAAATTAATCTAGACAGTAATTTGGCAATTAGTTGTAACCGTTTCTCATTTAACTATAGCATTAGTACAGTTCAGGATTTTGAACAGGTTATCACATTAGCTGATTTTATAATGACCATCAAGTTGAGGACACTGTAACTGAAACATTTTCACAGGCTTAATGTAAACATGCTAATATCAAGAGAAAAAAAAAATCCAATATGTTTTTCACACAACGGTGAGGTGTTTTTTCTAGATCGTATCCAATAGGTGTATTTCATAGAACTCCATTGTAAAAAAATCACGACTCATGTGATTGACATCCGGATGTCATTAGTGGTAAAAAAAAAAAAAAAAAAAAAAAAAAAAAAAAAAACAGGATGATTAGCTGTTTTTATAACCAAGCTTATTCCTGGGGAATTTTATTGCATTTCTTACAACACTGAAAATGCAAAGTTGTGCTTTTTTTGTGTGTGTGTGTGTGTAATAAAGTTTTATACACATTTGTAATAAGAACACAGCTAATAATGTCCCACATGTAGAAACAGAGGATAGGTCTCTTGGGGTCTTCTTTTAGTATTAATGAGTAGGTAACAAAGCTTAAACTGATGGCTAGTCCTGGTTATTCAAATATCAAAACGTCAAACATTTTAAAACATCTTAAATCTTAAAATATTCAAAATAATAATTAATTAATGATTAAAAATAATTCTAAGAAAAAACAAATTTATAAAAATTCTGACCATTATCATTGGACAGCTATACATTGTAAAAACTATTAAAATGGAGCATCATGACAGTAATTGGAGTGAGGAGGCAGTACGACATCTTGGATCTTCCTGTATGTAATAAAACCTGAGAAGGAAACATATAATGCCCAATAGGCCAATCATAACAAGGCTAAACACCAACAGAGAAGTAAGGCATAAAAGGGGTTCATTTTATCCGTTAACCTAAACTTCGATAGTCAATGGGATTGATATACTGATTGATGTGAAAGGTAAACAATCAGGCCTTATTTCTTGCTAAAGGGCTTAACTTTTACATAATCAATTACTCATACTAAAAAATGCTTTATGTGCTCTAGACTTTGAAAATGCTTCACTCAAAACATGGTCTTCTGTTTAACTTTGCTCTGCCTTCGTTTCTGGTGTATACAATAGCTGGTCTAAGTGTTGAATTTTTTCTGACTTTTAATCTCACTTTGAAAGTCCTTAACAAAAGTCCTTTAACACATAGCAATAATCACTTTCTGTCAAGATAAACATGATGAACCAACGATATCATGTTAAACACAATTAAGGGAGGAGCAATGGCATTTACCCATGAGAAAAGTTGTTGATAAAGCCTACAATGATGTTGTAATAGATTTTTATTACTATTTATTAAGGTAAAAAATCTGCAACGTCGCCAGTAAGGCAACAATTTCTCTCCCTGGAGTAGACAAATATTAGATCACACTCACAGTAAGTTTTTAGAAAAGTAAATAAATCCTGAAAACAGAGGAATACAAAAAATTCACTGCTAAGCTGTTTAGAAAAAAAAAATTTAGCTGATAATAACCACCGACACTAAAAGTTTCTACATCAATATTTGTCCCCGTTTGCTCTGCTATTACATTGAACACTGTATAAATCTGTCTCATGTATCTCATTCTACTCTAGCTTTGCAGAATTGAATCCACTTATGGATTGTTTATTTTTTGTTTTTTTACAGTTGTGCAATAGCATTGACATTTTTACATTCCCATGTTCTCATGAAGATCTTGCAATGATTGGATATTTACAGATGGAATGCAATGTTAAAGAGAACCTTATCACAAAGCTAGAAACTGTCTCCAGTTTAATATCTGCTACAAAGAAACATTTGTTTCCCACCAATATAAACATAGACATTTTAAGTTTTATTAAAATGTTAAAAACAGACAAAAAGTGGGTCTGCCTAACTAACTGTTGGTATTTCTCCTCTCTAAAACTGAAGTTTAAAACAAACTTACTGCACCTCACATAATTTCGTCTACTGATATTTTTTAAGAACTCCTTTTATAAACTCCAAACAATTCTGTGAATGCCAAAAAAAACATGTTAATATAAACCTAAGTTTTGCTCAATGCCCCTCCTTCTCTCCTCCTGAGGCCATAAAAAATCCACCCCACCCCAGACAGCACCAACTTGTCATTTTTTCCCCCTTTTTTATTCTAATAAATCAGTAACAACTGATAGGAAACTTACAAATCAAGAAAGGGCCCACGTTTTTTAAAGCACAGAAAACCAAAGCTTTGCATATAACCCCCTCAAATGGTCACACTATAACCAAAAATCATATTGATTTAAGCCAGTTTTCTTCAATACCCCCCTCCCCCTCTAGTCCTGCATGTGTAGTTCTTCCCTACCCCCTCCCTACAGTAACAATATACCTCAAGGGGGCAGGCCCCCACTAAGAACCACTGACATACAGGTGCTGGTCATAAAATTAGAATATCATGAAAAAGTAGATTGATTTCAGTAATTCCATTTAAAAAGTGAAACTTGTATATTATATTCATACATTACATACAAACTCATATATTTCAGATGTTTATTTTGTTTAATTTTGATGATTACAAATGACAACAAATGAAAATCTCAAATTCATCATATCAGAAAATTAGAATATTACTGAAGACCAATAAAAACAAAGGATTTATAGAAATGTTGGCCAACTGAAAAGTATGAACATGAAAAGTATGAGCATGTACAGCACTCAGTATTTAGTTGGGCCTCCTTTGGCCTGTATTACTGCAGCAATGCGGCGTGGCATGGAGTCGATCAGTCTGTGGCACTGCTCAGGTGTTATGATAGCCCAGGTTGCTCTAATAGTGGCTTTTAGCTCTTCTGAATTGTTGGGTCTGGTGTATTGCATCTTCTTCTTCACAATACCCCATAGATTTTCTATGGGGTTAAGGTCAGGAGAGTTTGCTGGCCAATTAAGAACAGGGATACCATGGTCCTTCAACCAGGTACTGGTAGCTTTGGCACTGTGTGCAGGAGCCAAGTCCTGTTGGAAAATGAAATCTGCATCTCCAAAAAGTTGGTCAGCTGCAGGAAGCATGAAGTGCTCTAAAACTTCCTGGTATGTGGCTGCGTTGACCCTGGACCTCAGAAAACACAATGGACCAACACCAGCAGATGACATGGCACCCCAAACCATCACTGACTGTGGAAACTTTACACTGGACTTCAAGCAACGTGGATGAAGTGCCTCTCTTCTTTTCCTCCAGACTCTGGGACCTTGATTTCCAAAGGAAATGCAAAATTTACTTTCATCAGAGAACATGACTTTGGCGCACTCACCAGCAGTCCAGTCCTGTTTCTCTTTAGACGCTTCTGACGCTGTCTGTGGTTCAAGAGTGGCTTGACACAAGGAATGCGACAGCAGAAACCCATGTCTTTCATACGTCTGTGTGTGGTGGTTCTTGAAGCACTCACTCCAGCTGCAGTCCACTCTTTGTGAATCTCCCCCACATTTTTGAAGGGGTTTTGTTTCACAATCCTCTCCAGGGTGCGGTTATCTCTCTTGCTTGTACACTTTTTTCGACCACATCTTTTCCTTCCCTTCGCCTCTCTATTAATGTGCTTGGACACTGAGCTCTGTGAACAGCCAGCCTCTTTAGCGATGACCTTTTGTGTCTTGCCCTCCTTGTGCAAGGTGTCGATGGTCGTCTTTTGGACAACTGTCAAGTCAGCAGTCTTCCCCATGATTGTGTAGCCTATAGAACTAGACTGAAAGACCATTTAAAGGCTTTTGCAGGTGGTTTGAGTTAATTAGCTGATTAGAGTGTGGCACCAGGGGCCATCAATTTTGAACCTTTTCACAATATTCTAATTTTCTGATATGATGAATTTGAGATTTTCATTTGTTGTCATTTGTAATCATCAAAATTAAACAAAATAAACATCTGAAATATATGAGTTTGTATGTAATGTATGAATATAATATACAAGTTTCACTTTTTAAATGGAATTACTGAAATCAATCTACTTTTTAATGATATTCTAATTTTATGACCAGCACCTGTAAACACAGCAAGGCAATGCTCTCACTTCAATAAAAATCTGATTAGTGAATGACATTAATGATATAAATATATATATATATATATATATATATACATATATATATATATACATATATATATATATATTTATAAATATATATTTTTTTGTATGTTAGTGCTAGAAAAACATCCCCCCTGTTACTTTTTTTGCAGGATGCAAGTAATACCTGGAAAATAAAAATAAAACGCATAAATCAAAGCAAAAAAAAAAAAGTCAAAAATCATATTTCTATTAAAATTGCTGTTATGGTTATGTGAAGGAGCCGGGGCCTATGGAGCCAGGAAGCACTCTAGCTCCACCCTAAAGACATGGGGGAGGGGGTAAAGCTTCTAGGAGTCCCTGCCCCTCTATGCTGTAAACTTTTCAGCCGCCATTAAAAGTCTTTTAAACCCAACGTAAACTCTTAAATTCACACCGTAGTAAAAAAAAAATGGCTCTTTGAAAAACCACTTTAAGCGGTGAGATAAATGCAATAACAAGCTAACCTCTGTAGTTGTCTCGTGCCAGCATCTCGGTTGTTACCACTACAAGCCATTAGCGGCATATGTCAAACTAAGCCCTCATGTTGACCCTCTCCTCCTGCGTGGTTTTTGAATAGTTCCTGTGTATCAGCGTGACTTTGACAGCTTAGAGAAGGCACTCACTTTTTCCACGTCTTGTAATACTCCGCCACCGAGTGAGTGCCCGCTCCCGGCGGATGAAGTTCGCTCGTGTTTGACCGCCACCGTCGAGCCTCCGTCCGTTAAGTTTTTGTAAAAAATGGGCCCCGGTATGTAGCTGCTTGTTTCCATTACCGGGACCCGGCTGTTGTAGCGGCCCGGGCGGTAATTGAAGTCCACCACACCGCCGACGCCTGCCCCGACCGACGACTTTTCCAAAATGCATTTTGACTCCATATTCAGTCAGGGAGAGTGGAGACTAGAGGAAGAATGACGGATTTCTGTAGGTTTTAGTGCAAATCGCGAGAGTCAGATACATTTATCAGGATTGTCGCAGTTTGATAGGAGCTCTCTGAGACGTAACTTCTATTCTAGTCTACATGTGAATTTTTTTTTTTTTCCTTCGCTGCCGTCAAAACCGCAGCCCAGGATATCCAAAAGCCGCCCGGGTTAGAAGGATAAAAAGATTGTTTTGCCTCTTTCCTCCAAACCCATGCCACGCCCCCTCATCTGCGCTCCTATTGGTCCGTAGTGTTCATAAACATTTCACTTTGGCACGCGTCCACGTGGAGACTGATTCTGAATGGCTGTTGCGGTTGCAACGTCACATTTTTTTCAATCTTAAAAGTAATGTGGTAGGAAGATAGGAGGGGGCGTGACGAGCACTTTACCGGCCGGTGTCTGTCGACGAGGAGGTTTCAGGGGAAAAACAGCCTTCACTCCAGCAAACTGCGCAGCAACGCAGGAAATGAAGGATTTCGACTAACAGTGGAAGAAGTCCGTTGCAACTGTTGTTTATTACTGTTTTCCCCCTGCAGTTTTAAATAATAAACCTTTTGCACAGCAAAAAAGTATTTTATGCACATTAAAGGGAAAGGAAGTAGCTCTGCAGAAGATTACAAGCTTGCTATGGTGCATGAGCCAAATAGATTGTATTTATAGCTTGAATAAATACATCAATAAATATAATCAATCTGCAGTTATGAACATGTTAAATCCACATCTCATTCCCACAGTATGGTGTATTCCTGACATTTTGCCCAAATTCCTTAGAATTGTACCAAAAAATATACAGTTCACCCATTGGGAAATATACAAATTAAACTAAGCAAGTTGTAAAATTAAACATATAATCTTACAAGCTTGCACCACTGATGTTCTTAGAAGGGATCCTCTGGTTTCCAATGCTTCATCTTGGCCTTCTATCATAAGGAGCTTACCTTTGGCATCATTTGTCAAATTCCACCCCACACACATACACTTTAATGCCTTGACATCCACCAAAATGCCTATTGATGCCTCACTGCCTATAGTGAGCTCATTTAAGCAGCTTTTTTTTGCCTTTAATCTTGTAACAAAAATAAAAAAAACTCAACAAAGCCCTGCTGTGGAAATCCCAGCTTCATTACCCAGCTGTGTTTGCATTGTCAGTGTATATTTGTTAGTAAAAATGAAATGCCACCTGTTGCTCAATGATCCAGAATGCACACGCCTGCAGTTTCTTTTTATTGTCTAATCCCACACAAACACATTTTATTGCATCTTGCGTTATTGCATGATTGAGTTATTAATGTCAGTCTGCAGCAAAGAGGGAAAAACCCTGCAGATCTGCCTGCAAAACAAAAAAGAAAGCATGTAACACAAACATGTTATAATGTGCCACTTTATTAGAAAAGTAAAAACTCACTTTAATATTTTATGAAGGGTAATATAAAACATTACAATCTTTTGCATATCTGCACTGTCACACTTTATTTATTCATTTATTTTTATATATATATATATATATTTTTTTTAAACTAAACCCTGTGCTTTTAGAACATACAACATTGGCTACGACTGTCACAGCAGTACTGGCCTATACTTATAGTTTAAGACAATTAACAAACAGCATCTGAATCTGCATGGAAAGCATGAAATGTTTTCTTTTTTATACACAAAGTACTACGTGTCGGTGATAGCCATCTCTTTTTTTTCATCGTCAACAAATATACTGTATACTGCATGTTACATAGGAACAACATCAGAACAGCAACAGATTAATTTACACATTTACATCATCGTACGGTTTGTGCAACGAATATTTGTCTCTGTCGGTGAATAACATCGCTCAACAATGTATCCCAGATCAGTGCATTCTCTCAGGGTAAAATGCAACATATAATGTGATAGCCACAATCAAAGAAAACAAAACTAACAAACAAAAAAAACATGGAGCATGACAGCAATATCCAAGTGATTGTATTAGAGAGATCCCATCTCAGCTGTTGGCCATTTCTCATGTACCAGACAGATGAGCCGTTGGTGCATTGCTGTTATGAGGCTGGGAGTATGCCTGCCCCCCTCCACCACCCATATATTGCTTGGAGACCCTCAGAACAGGTCATCAAAGAGCCCTCCTCTGTACAACAGCAGAAAGGGAGAGTGGCAGTACACACTAACACGCTTCCCCACTTAAACTTGAGGCTGGATTCTGTGTGCTTCTCTTGTATGTAAAAAAAAATAAAAAAAATTAAAAAAACAAATAAGAGAAGAGGAGAGCCCTCTTGGTCCTTGTCCTTTTACGCTGACCTTCATCCGGCTTCAGACTAGCCTTACACCCCCCCCAACCCAACTCGATTTCTTTTCCCTGCTCCCAATGGGGAAACGAATAAACAACCTTTCAACTCTCTCCCAGCAGCACCTCTCTGTCCTTTCTGCTCTCTTCTGCTCCTTAAAGTTGTTGCTTTGGCTAAACAAAACGAGGCTTTACATTACATGGTTAAAAGCACAACATAAAATAGAAACTAGAGATAAGTACCACAATATTTGTTTTCATCTCCATATATCAAGGCATGCACTTATTCAAGCAGAAAAGAAAGAGGTTGCATCAACAACATATATATATATATATATTTACCCTTTTCATGGCAGTGGTGTGAGCTATTTAATCAAATGTATCATCATTAGGATAGAAATTAAACAGTGCTTTAAAATACAGTGTTCATTTGTTTTTACATATTTTCTGACACAGTAGCATTTATATTTTTCTCTATGTAACCTTTCGAAATTTGCATCCCGTTTGCATTTTTGTCACACAAGTGGACTGTATCCTTAAACAATTCTCCCTTTACAGTCTTTGAAAATTTATTTATTCCTCCTTACAAGCTTCTTTTGTATTAGTTTCATTGTCATGAGTAAATGTTTCAGATCATTAGCAGAATTTTAATATCAGACAAGGATAGCCCCCAAACAGACCTAGCCAAATGTAAAGATTGCCTTCCTTATGTCCTAATATATCTAAAATATCTTAGAATTATCCAATTTTTTTTTTATATTATTCTCACTACACTCACATCTGTTTACTATGAGAGCAACAGAATTAAGAATTCACCTAGATTGGACCTGTCTGATATCATGAAGTAGTGAAAGAGATCATTAAAAAAAAATCTAAGAAAGTTTAAAAACAGACGATAATAAAGGTCACTCTTACCCACCTACCAGTCCATAAAGGGGTTATTAAGCTTCACAGAGAGTAACTGTAAGAGCCAATTTGAGACAAATTCATTTATAGTTTTAAAAAAGGTTAAAATACAAGATTGATAATTTTGTTTGTTGATAAGATTATAATTTAAGTTTAAAAAACTCCAATATTAAAAGCATAGAATATAGAAATGCAATTTGAAATGCATATTTTTGGGCTTCCTGCATGCTGTAATTGTATACGTGTTTTTTTTCTGTTTGTTTGCTTTTAAGTACTGTACATAAGGACTGAGGGGAAAACAGATATGCTGGAAGCAACACAGTTTTTGACCGAGTTTATATTATACAAATGTGGATGTTCTCTTATTTTTGTTTTCTTTCAATAAACATCACAAGTTGAAGAACATCATCTGGAATGGCTCGCGTTTCAATACTAGTTGCTAGACTGTTTTTCCATGTGGTACAGAAGAAACTAAAGGAGCTAGCGTGCCGCTACAGTAACTATTCACAAATGAGGTAAACATAGAACATTTGTGAACATGGTGGTGGTACTGTGGTGGTACAAGGCAGCTTTGTTGCTTCAAGACCAGGATAACTTGCCTTGATTGATAGATCTCTGGCTTTATAGCAGAGATTCCCATGAAAAATGTCCTGCTATAAAGTTAGATTGGTTAAACTTACACATATTTGACTTATCCAGCACGATAAAACATAACAACTTAAGTGCTTCCTCATTTCTAACAAAAAGAGGAAATGATGCATTTAAAGGTTTGGGTCTAAACTACGTAAATTTGAGTTACATTTAATGTGGTTAAGATGCTGCAACATGATCCTAACTGGATCATTAATGCTCCAAAATCATCTGATTTTGCTGAGTTGAGATAAATCTACAAACAGGAGTGGGTGGATGTCACTGTGTTGTTAAAGACTGACTACAGTGGCAAAACCATTAATTAGGTTAAGGAGGCTGTTATTTTTTCATAATGGCTCACAATTGCATAGATGTTTTTTTTCCCCATTTAATTAATGAAAATAAAATTTGAAAGAGGCATTTTATCTTTACTCTGGTTGTCTGATCAATATCATTATTAGCTTCAGAATCTGACACATTTCATTTTGACCAAAGAAACAAAAAACAAGAGAGAGGAGACATGTAGAGGGACAAATAATTATCTTACTGTTTTTTTTTATTTCTTATAATTCTTAAAGCTACGTGGGAAAGATGATTTTCCTAATGGAAGGGAACACAGCATAGAAGCTGGACACGAGTCGGAGGAGAAGGGGAGGAATAACTTTTGAAAAGACACTTAACGGTAATATTTTTGTCCAGCTCTTTATTTTCTTTATTTTATTTGGAGTCCAGACCCCTCTGTTAGTATTTCAACCACAAAACTACAGTCTGAGCTACGGGGAGCTCTGGTTGTGGCTCGGGTGCTCAGAGCAAATCAAAACGTTGCTTTAATATACCCTTTAAGCACGCAGCTAAGCTCAGCAGTCAGGCAGTTGACCTGTGCAAAATTACAGTGGCTATAAAATAAGATGTTTACAATCTGCATAGGAAATGACACTAACTCAAAAAGGATTAAGCATCCTGCACTAGTACTGAAAATCTTTTACTTTTATACGTGCTTTTTATCCCAAATATACTCTCAGTTATTCCTGCAGTACAGTTAAAGTCTCTGATTGGGAAATTATCGCACTGGGGAAATTCTTGCACAAGCCATTTGCTGCCCCCGACCTGAACACATCATCTTGCCTGACTCTGCCAAACATGTGTGCATCTGAGCAGAGGGTGGTGTCAGCAGGCCTCCAACAACAGTTTGTCAAATATAAGGAGTAAGTTTTATAGTTCGTCTTAATATAAGAGCTATTTAACAAAAAGCTCAGTTTCTAACTTTATCACGAGGACTGACAGCTGACATTATGTGGAATGAGGACGATAACCTTCACTTACTTATGTGCGTTTGAGTAGGCCTGCAAATTACAGGTCTGTGTCTGAACAAAGCACCGCAAGCA